AAAAAAAAAAAACTTAGGTCTACTTTAGAGTTTTAAAATGGTCTAATTTACAGCTTATTGCGGTTTACAGTCTCTCAGGGTTACTTGCTCAGACTTTTTATGAGAGAGGAAGAGATGTATTAATGTTTAGTACCCAATCTACAGAAGCTATGATAAGATTAAAGTTAGAAACACACTGGTTTAACCCCTTCCCTTCTGAAACACAACAGGTGACTGACTGGAAGCGTACTGAGAACATTTTACCATTAGTATTACCTTTAATTAAATTCTATGTCTATTTATTTACAATTCAATAATTTAATCTTTTAATTCATTGAATATTACCTTTAGTTTTTTTCTCAGTATTATTTAATGTTAATTTTAGGTTCAAGTTCATTAAGGTCCAGCCATACGTGGTGTCTTCAGAGGAAAAGAATTCATTAAGTTTTTGTTATGATGAGTCAACCAGGTAATGTGTTTATACAGGTGACACAATAACGACCAGCGGCTGTCACCAAATCTGGGATGGTTTACCCTTTGTGACGCCTCCATGAGTGTGTGACGTCTCCATGAGTGTGTGACGCCCCCCATGAATGTGTGACGCCTACATGAGTGTGTGACGTCACCATGAGTGTGTGACGTCTCCATGAGTGTGTGACGCCCCCCATGAGTGTGTGACGTCTCCATGAGTGTGTGACGCCTCCATGAGTGTGTGACGCCCCCATGAGTGTGTGACGCCTCCCATGAGTGTGTGACGCCTCCATGAGTGTGTGACGCCTCCATGAGTGTGTGACGCCCATGAGTGTGACGCCACCATGAGTGTGTGACGCCTCCATGAGTGTGTGATGAGTGTGTGACGCCACCATGAGGTGTGACGCCTCCATGAGTGTGTGACGCCACCGATGACGCATGAGTGTGTGACGCCTCCATGAGTGTGTGACGCCATGAGTGTGTGACGCCACCATGAGTGTGTGACGCCACCATGAGTGTGTGTGATGCCTCCATGAGTGTGTGACGCCTCCATGATGTGTGACGCCTCTATGAGTGTGTGACCTCCATGAGTGTGTGACGTCTGATGAGTGTGTGACGCCCCATGAGTGTGTGTGACGCCTCCATGAGTGTGTGACGTCTCCATGAGTGTGACGCCTCCATGACGTCCATGAGTGTGTGACGCATGAGTGTTTGACGTCTCCATGAGTGTGTGACGCCACCATGAGTGTGTGACGCCACCATGAGTGTGTGACGCCACCATGAGTGTGTGTGATGCCTCCATGAGTGTGTGACGCCTCCATGAGTGTGTGACGCCACCATGAGTGTGTCCATGTGTGTGACGCTCCAGTGTGTGACGCCTCCATGAGTGTGTGACGCCTCCATGAGTGTGTGACGCCACCATGAGTGTGTGACGCCCCATGAGTGTGTGACGCCTCATGAGTGTGTGACGCCACCATGAGTGTGTGACGTCTTCATGAGTGTGTGACGTCTTCATGAGTGTGAGTGTGTGACGCCTCCATGAGTGTGTGACGTCTCCACGAGTGAGTGTGTAAAGTATTCCTTCTACCCCCTACCCTCTCCGTCCCTCCCATTCCCTCCTTCACCTCCTCAAAAATTTATTAATAGTGTGTATGTGTGTGTGTGTGTGTGTGTGTGTGTGTGTATGTGTGTGTGTGTGTTCCAGAGATTATCATTTCATTCGTCTTGTCTCGTAAATCTTCGTCAAAAACAAACTAAATCTATTGGATATAATGTAAAGAAGTGATCATATAACTGAACAATGTAATTGGGAAATTGAACGATGTATACGAAAGATTTCATTACTTTACGATGATTTATTTATTTATTTTTTTTGGTAATCCTGTTCATAACTTTTTGGTAGGACAGACAGACGGACGGACGCTAATCAATAGAATCCCCCCCCCCTTTCCTCTCCCTTCCCCCACTCCTCTCTTGGGTTATATCATGGAGAGTAGGATAACTTAGTGACGTTGTGAAATACTGATAGTCTAAATACACTGACAGACAATCGTAGGTGACTTGAATGTAATATTCTGACAGTGTTACAGTATAAGCTCAGCCTATGATTGTTCCCTCAAGTTATTACACGTTAAAATGGATTTTCTCTGGGACACATACACACACGCACACACACACTCACTCAATGGAGGATTGTGTTCTTCTGTAACTACTATTACTACTACTACTACTACTACTACTACTACTACTACTACTACAAGTGTTCGAGTATCCTCCAAAATAGTCACTAAGACGTTTTTCCGCCATGACAGTTGTGTGGATCAGTGGAATTGGTGTTATGTACAGTAATAGGATCCAGTGAGTGAGGGGAGAGGGGGTGGAGGTGAGGAGAGGGGTGAGGAGTGGGGAGAGGGGGTGAGTGGGGGAGAGGGGGTGGAGTGGGGGGAGAGGGGTGAGTGGGGGAGAGGGGGTGAGTGAGGGAGAGGGGGTGAGTGGAGAGAGAGGGGGGGTGAGTGGGAGGGTGAGTGGGGGAGAGGTTGGGAGAGGGTGGGGGGGGAGGAGGGAGGGAGGAGGGCTGAGTGTGAGTGAGGGGAGGGTGGTGGGGGAGGGGGGGGGAGAGAGGGGGGTGGGGAGAGGTGGGGGCTGGTGGGGGAGGGACTGAGTGGGGAGAGGGGGAGTGAGGGGGGGGGGAGAGGGGTGGGTGGGGGAGAGGGGGTGGGTGGGGGGAGAGGGGGGTGAGTGTGGGGAGAGGGGGTGAGTGTGGGGAGGTGAGTGGGGAGGGTGAGTGAGGAGGGGGGTGAGTGTGGGGGGGGGGTGGGTGGGGGGGTGGGGGAGAGAGGGGGTGAGTGAGGGGAGAGGGGCTGAGTGTGTGTGGGGGGGGTGAGGGGAGGTTCTTCTCCTGCTAGTTACGTGGTGTGTTAAACTATTCTCTACCACTGAAGGCTTTGTTATAGGTCCAGTAAGGCTGAAGACAATGGCTCCTTCTCTCAGTCACTGTTTATATTATTTGTCTTTATATTCTTAACTTATACCGATTGAGTATATATGTATAGTGTTAGTAGACATTATCACATATTATGTACATATTTACGGGTATTATACACGATATACATGATCTTTATAGTTACTAATGAGTTTATTTATAGTATGTAATGCACACACACACACACACACACACACACACACATGTATGTATGTATGTGTTTATCATCAAATAGTGTATAAAACAAAGAGTATAATCTTACAAACGTTTAATCAACAACACTCACAACAATATCAGCAACACAGCTCAACTCAACAACACAACTCCAACTTATAACATCAATAAATTTAAGTCTCACACAGTACAACTCTCAGGTATACTCAAACAGGTATTCAACAAGTCCAATTAGTGTCGTATACCTGGAGAGAACAGCTAGATGGCCTTTTGGTTTCTATTCATTAAAATTTTACTCTTTTCACAATACTAAAACTAAATCTCTAGAGAAGGAAATATTTATCATAAGTTACTAAGGAAAAAGTTTCGTGAGAATATTTAAATTTAAAGACGATTTATTATTCTTCACATTGACTTTATTTAGCTTATGAACCAATGGCCAGGGTGTGTGTTCTCTCTAGATCAGTGTTAGGTTAATAATACAGTACCTTACATTACTACACTACAGGCAACTACAGCGTCGAGGGTCAGTGTCATCGATAATAATGGTTTATACAATTGACCTTTATTATCAAAAGTGTATGTATGAGGTTAAAACACTCTTCTTCTTTTTTTTAGCCTTGTATTAAATTTATTATTGGTCTAATTTTGAAGAAAAAAACATTGATTTATTTTTGGTGGTAAATACAGATGTTTTGGGTGTGTGAGAGACGGGGTAGATACCTGTCAAATTTCAGGTCCCTACAGGTGTCTTTGATCAGGTAATGTTGACAGTCTCCAGGCACCTCTCCACGTCAAAACATCTGTAGCGTCATGTTTAATTTTAACTCATGTGAAATTAAGGTATAATACTTGTTGTTTCTTTAAGTCAGTTGTTATATAAGTCTCGCGTCGTGTTAGTCCTCTACTGGAAGCAATATGGTGTTAGAAGTATTATATGATTAGTCTATAATACTAACTTATAAAGGGTTAATATATTTGTTTATTTGTTTAAGAAATATACATTATATAAATTGTGAAGTTTATATACAATAGAAATGTTTAAATATATATATATAGTAAAATATTAAAGAGGATTATGTTAGTTTTTATAGAAATTTATATTTAACTATACTACATACTAAAAGTTTATAATTATATACACAAATATACAATTGTTATTATTTTTAATACTAAGGTATCTACTTGTTTAAAGGTTAGTATACTTATAACCTACAGAGTATAAGGATAGTATGAGGCACTGGCACTGGTCTGGTGGTGCCACAGTAGGCGTGGGTTTCATGGTATAGGCGTGGGTGTCATATCTGGCGTGGTAGACGTGTCCAGGTTGTCATATGGGAAGGAAGGTGTGAGAGTGTTGACCAGTGCCTCAGGAAGGAGGGTGGTGACAGTGTAGGAAGGAACACCACTCTTGTTTATCATCTACAGGAACTACATACTGACAGGGTTGACAATAAGTAGAAATTTATATAAAAGAAATGTATATATTTTATAGATATAAGTAATGTTGACTTATTTTTAATGATTTTTATGGTGTTTTTAAATGTTTATAGTAAAAGAGAAAAAATATGATATATCTACTTTTTTAATGTTTTTAATTATTATTAATATTTATCAGTTTAAAATCTATATCTAAAATGTTTTTAAATTATATTTCTTTATTTTTAACTTGGCATTTTTTTTAATGTTTAGAACACACAAGATTGATAGTCATGACATATAATAATTAGTCTTGAAACAACAAATAAGACCGTTTCAAGACCCCCCCCATCAGTAGGTGTTATTACTGGAGGAGGAGGAGCAGGATGAACACTAACCTACACCTCTTATTATAAGTTCTGAGGAGGACCATCGAGGATGAGGTGTAGGTATAAGGGTAAGATCAAGTACTCACCGACACGCCGGGTTCGAGAAGTGGCCCTTACTGAAGATGACGCCGTCGAAGGGAAGAGAAAATTCTACGTTGACCGTCATACCGGACTTTTCACACTGGACGTCGAGGCTGGTGATCTGGGGCATGTTGGCCATACCCTGTACCACCTCCACCTCATTGTATTGACCCAGCTGTCCTGCAACCAGCTGAGGAGAGAAGGAAGGTTGTTGTTTAGTCTATATGTTGCTGTTGTTGTTGTGTATTTTAGGTGCTTCAATAGTCTTTCAAGCATCCTTTATTAAGTCTTAGTTTTAGGTGCTTCAGTGGTCGTGCGGGAGAGAGGGGGTCGTTGAAGCACACCGTTCATTAAGTCTTAGTTTGTATAAGCTTCTTTACACCAGTGGCCAGGGATCATTCAACACGTTACACCAATATCCACAACAAAGATTCACACCAACGTGAATATCGATATTATAAACCAAAACGAAATTAAACGACAAACTTACACACACACACAAAAAAAAATTTACTGATAAAAGATTCTTGGTTATAGTGATCCACATTTGTCTGACCTTCTAAACCAAACAACTTTTAGAACACCTGGGGGATATTTGTGCAGTCTTCTTACCTGTTAATCTTGTGTACCCAGTTTTCTATCACACGAGAGAAGATTTTTTTTTGGTAGTGTTTAATATATCCACATTCTATATCCTGCGTTATATTTTCCTATTGTAAAAGCTCGTCTCTCAAACAGCCTTGTAAAGGTCGACACCATCCTAGACTGCAACTTAAACACGATGAGTCTACAATACCCTCGTGAAAGTCGACCTTAAAAGTATAATCATTTAACGATAGAGATTATTGTAGAATTTACTTTAGGCTTCACGAGTTTTATTGTATAATTTAGTTTAGGCTTCACGAGTTTTAGGACGAATCAAAACAAAACACAAGATAAATTACTACACAAGAGAGCAGCTGAGGTTATGTTCCCTCTCACGACGGGGCGCTGACACACTCCACCGCTCACTGTTGCACTTGAGTGGTTGTAACGCATTATTGACGCTCGTTACATTAATATTACTGAAGCGGAGTGGAAGTTACAGTGACTCCATCTATTGTGAGTTTAGTGGATCTGCTAGCCAGTCACCCACCCAGCCAGCCAGCCGTCATCCAGCCAGCCAATCACCTAGCCAGACAGTCAACATGCCTCGTTTAAGCATTATGTTCTCCTCCGGCTCAACACAACACACCAATGTCGATCGAAATGCCTCAGGTAGCCAGACCATTCATTCTCTCCACCACCACTACCACACCACCACCACCACACTACCACCACACGTAAGTCAATCTTGGCAGACCCACCGAGCAACATTCCTTCAACACCTTACAACAGTCAACACTCCAGAGGTTTGCAAGTACTTGAGTGTGTTGGTGTTCTCATCGGGAACAAATCTCTCCTTAGTGTGTCTCACTGAACCGAGATTTTAATGCGAGTTATCAAGTGAGAGAGAGAGAGAGAGAGAGAGAGAGATGTTAGCCAAGACTGGAGGGTGACACACACACACACACACACACACACTCTCAGGCCCTTGTGGTCGTCCCAACCAACTATTACCTCTATTTAGTCACACCTGTTCCCTCATCTTTAAGGCTTTGAATACTTTCGCTCCTTGATACCCAGGTAACAAAAAAATGACATACCGAGGGGCAGGTAGGACAGGTAGCAAGAGGAACGTTAATAAGGTAGTCAGTTTAAGTTAAAGTAGGACCTGTGAAGTTGGCTCGGCCACACACACAGAGGGAGAGAGAGAGAGAGGTTAACGATTTTATATAATTTACGTCTCATTAGAGGTGGCCATGCCAAGGTAGGAGGTCAGTGGCTCGTGTAGGATCCCTTCATTGTTCCTGATAATCCTGTCTCGAGTTATTTTAGCCCAGTGGTGTTCTCGCTTCCACAGCTTGGGATAGTAGACCGTTTCATAGGTCTACCTGATGTTCGTTCTGTACTTCAATCTCTAACTAGCCCTTACTAGCCCTCACCAGCCCTCACTAGCCCTCACCAGCTCTCACTAGCTCTCACCAGCCCTCACTAACCCTCACCAGCCCTCACCTTCTCCTCTTATTATTGGGTCATTCGTATTGTGTAAAAAAAAATATACCAAGAATTTACACTGAGGATCGTAAACATTCCTCCAGCCTGTGTTATTCTGACCGAAGGAGCGACAAGTGAGGATTTTTTTGCGTAATACAGGAGTACAATTTCACGCCCGACTGAGACAGAAACCCCATGATGACACAGTTGGTTGAAGATGAAATGGAAAGTACATCTGGGAGAGAATAAAGGTGATATGAGACCCTAGAAACTGTAATATGTTTGAGAGATATGAGTAAGTTAGTATCCATTAGATGATTATTTTTCCATACACGATTTTAAGCATTTGAAAGTGAGGTCATACTGTTTATATGAAAGTTCCTATTGACAGTGACACATTCAAAGGTCATTATTCAAACACCTCCTACCACACACACACACACACACACAGATGTCACTTTCCAAACACAGTAGCGTCTCACAGAACAGGTGGGTGATGCTATGGGCACTAGACATACACCTGTACACCTCCTCAGACAGCTTTCCCGAGAGTGACCAAAAGCCGAGTAGGTTTTTCGCTGCACTTATGGAAGATTAATTAGCACCGTGAACCTGTTATAGTTGTAATGGTTGTTGTTGTTGTTGTTGTTGCTATTGCTTGTAGTGATGGTAGTAGTAATTTGAGTAGTTGTAATATTATTGGTAGAGGTGTTTGGACTAGTTTATGTATGTAGGTACTCGCAGATGCACACACACACACACACACACACACTCTCTCTCTCTCTCTCAGCTTTTAAATTAATAGAATAATCTTGACTCAATCTACCAGAAAGACGTCAAGCTGAGAGTATAATCTGTTATGACTTGATGCAGGCTAAGTTAGTCAACAAGAAAAGTGGTGCTACCGGGAGGCGGCGGTGATACAGCCTCAGGTGGTATGGGGACTCGGAGCTACCTGACTTACATAACCTACCTGACTAACTTAAAACACGAGATTGATCACCTGAATTCCACACCTATTAGATCTACCTTAATGAGAATCAATTAGCATAAGTTAAGGGGAATGGAATTAGACTTACAGGATTTGGAGTTCTTATAATGCCAGACGGCGGGTAAAGGCGAAGGGCGGTTCAGCCGACCAGAACGAAGCGACTGGCTGGGTAGTTTATGAGTGCTTGAGGGAAGGGATGTGGAGAATATATTTGGTGGTGGTGGGTTACGTATGAGGCCTCAGTACAGTACTTACATCTTTCCATTCATCCAGAGAGAGAGAGAGAGAGAGAGAGAGAGAGAGAGAGAGAGAGAGAGAGAGAGAGATGATAACTTTAATAACACAGGTTAGCTTAAAGTCGCCCTTGGTAACCATAGAGTGTGTGTGTGTGTGTGTGTGTGTGTGTGTGTGTGTGTGTGTGTGGTGCCGGTCCTGGAGTCTATATAGAGGAGGGTATTTAAAGGTCAGTCTAAGGTGTTTTGTAATTAGTTAAGGGGTTTCGTAAAGGGTAAGGGAGTTTCAGTAATATTTAATGGGATCTAAAATTTTCTGTAATGGTGCTTTAAGATCGGACTTACTATACGTAATAGTCGACCTTCTACCTCCTCCTTCTGTTCCTCCTCCTCCTCCTCCTCCTCCTCCTCCTCGTTCTCTTCCTCCTGTTCCTCCTCCTTCTCCTCCTCCATCAATTCTTCCCCCATCTCTTCCATCACCTCCTCTTCCTCCACTACCTCTTCTTCCTCTTCCTCCTCGTTCTCCTCTTCATAGTGCATTACAAGAGCAGGTCGAGGAAGGTAGATGTACACAAGCCAAGAGGTTGGGTAAAATCCTAAAAGTGTGTGGTAATGAAGGTGGTATTGTGGTAAATAATGTTGACCGAGTTATAAAACGATTCTTTGACTGAGTTAGGAATTGGTTTCGTTGACTGAGAGTTATACTGAAAGGGGGAGGGCGAAATATATGAGCCAGTGAAGTGTTCAAGCGGTTGAGGTCAAAGGGGTCATACAGGTAATTTATTGTGTGTTGTAATAAAGGGTGAAATGTGAGACAATGAAAAGGGAGAAAGGGAGGGATGAAGGGGAGGAAGGAGGAAGGATGGATGGAGGGAAGGGAGGGATGGAGGAGGAGGATGGGGGAAGGAGGAGGAAGGATGGATGGAGGGAAGGAGGGATGGAGGGGAGGGAGGAAGGGGATTGAGTTAGACTCTGCACTTAGCTAATCGTGTTATACTGAAGTGAAGGTAGTGGAGGGAGGAGAGGAGAGGGAGGAGAGAAGGAGTGAGGGAGAGAGGGAAAGAGTAAGGGAGGAGAAAGGAGAAGGAGAAAAGGAAGGATTGAAGGAGGGGAGGAGGGAAAGGAGAAGGAATATGAATCGATGGAGGAAGTAGGAAAGGTAGAAGAGAGGGGGCGGTAGTGTCTTGGTCAGGTCTAAGGGTTTATGAGCGAAAAGCCACACGATGATATAGCCTCCGTCTCTTACATACAGGTTTGGTAAGTAAGGTCCACTTTCATCCAAGACTCAACATTACCGGTGTGGCGAGTGAATGGTGGTGGTGAGTGAATGGTGGTGGTGAGTGAATGGTGGTGGTGAGTGAATGGTGGTGGTGAGTGAGTGGTGTGGTAGTGAATGGTGGTGGTGAGTGAGTGGTGGTGGTGATGAGTTAGTTGGTGGTGGTGATGAGTTAATTGGTGGTGGTGAGTGGTGGTGGTGGTGGTGGTGGTGGTGGTGGTGGTGGTGGTGGTGAGTGGTGGTGGTGGTGAGTGAATGGTGGTGGTGAGTGAATGGTGGTGGTGAGTGGTGGTGGTGGTGGTGGTGGTGGTGGTGGTGAGTGGTGGTGGTGGTGAGTGGTGGTGGTGATGAGTTAGTGGTGGTGGTGATGAGTTAGTGGTGGTGGTGGTGATGGTGGTGAGGGATAATTCGTTGGAGAATGGTGGTGTGGTGGTGTGTAGCGGCTGTGGTGGTGGTGTGGGCTGGTGGTGGTGTGGTGGCTGTGGGCAGGGGTGGTGACGTGGGGTTTTGACTGTGGTGATTTGGCGTCCTGTGGTGTGACTTGTGGTGGTGTGACGGTTGCAGTGGTGGTGTGGCTGTGGTGGTGGTGTGGCTATGGCTGTGGTGGTGTGGCT